CATCCCACCCACTCTGTGGTCAATATTTTCAGGTCGATGTCTGTTGTCCCTGTCGCCCTGTCATTGTCTGTGACTTTTCTGTCTGCTATCACCATCTTAGGCAACCCGGCAGGTGAGTTGTTATAATAATAATGTAACAGACGATTACAATGAGTCGTTTCGAAATTTGATTCTTGTCCATTAGAGAGGTAATTTCGGGGTTTTCTTTTTCTTAGGTTTTACGCCCCTATCACAACTAATAGGTTATTTAAGAGGCGGGAACCTCCGACTTGAACGTTCATTTCCTTATGGACCGAGCCAAATGGGAAATTCGTGTAAAGTGTCGTTCCCAAGGGCACAACGTCGAGCCGTCTGACACTCGACCCCTTGAACCCACAAACTCACGATTACGACCCTGGTAGCCTGAACACTAGGCCACCGACGACACTTTTAAATCAGTTGTTTCTTTAAAAATGTTCAAATATTACTCTTTCGATAGTTTCTCTGATGACATCACCCCCCGCAAACCCTGGACGATTTCATAATATTGTAAACATGGCTACTTACATTTGTTTAAGTTAATACACATACTGATTTGTTACATACAGTTTGTATTGTATACCTTGCGCAGACGGTTTCTCAACGTTCGATAAGGCCGTTTCCTCATAATAATAGTATGTGTCTTTTCAATGGATTCTACTTTCAGAAATGTATGTCTTCAACACGATGTTTGCATATACTGCTGTCGCCATGATTTTCGCCATGTTGTCCACCGCCTTTGTCTTCATACCATTCTTCTACCGACTTGGAATTACAAGCACTTTTCAGGCGAGATTATATAACAATATTGTGTATTTGAAGTCTTTTGCATGTTCCGTTTATTGAACATTTCACTATAATAATTATTTCCATGCTGCATTTTCCACAACGAAGTTTGAGAAAAAACCCAATAATAACTAATATTAGTCTACTAATTATTCAACCAGATGTTCAAGACATTTTTAATGATCACCTTAACTTTCATTCGTGTTGCAACTTGTGTGTTAATAGTTCATTAAGCGAAATCAAAGTGGAAAAGTAGATCATTGTCAGTGTCTTGTGCTTAGGTAAAAATAGATTGTTAAGATTATGCAATTTCCTTCCACACCCTAACCCCGATACAATGATGGTGATGATGATGATGACGATGATGAAGATGATGATGAAGATGATGATGATGATGATGATGATGATGATGATGATGATGATGATGATGATGA